ACAGACACTCTAAGGTTCCCTCTGCGTACAGCACTAATCTGACGTAGGATTGTCAGGCTTTAAGCAATCCTCCTGGCCCCTTTGGGCTGTCTTTCTTCCCATCCAAACATCACACCCACCAAAAGAAGAAGCATTCAAAGGCAGGAATAAGCACATAAAAAGCTCAAAGTGCACACAATCTGGTACAGAGTACAACTTGCACAGTTCTCTCATGCTACAGCCTGATCCTGTGGCATAACAGAGGACTTTCAGGTTGCAAGGAAATACTAACAGCAGCTAACACCAGACCCAGAGCTGCAGTTTCAAGGGGGACCCCACTCTCTTAAGCATTTTAGGAATTCCAGTGATTTTCAACAAAAAAAATGCAGGTTTTTTTTTAAACTTGTGCTTAATCTCCGCCCAAAGAAAAACAAAGAAAAGAAATCTGAAACGTAACTACAGCTGCAGCATGATTAAAAGGACTTACTAGTTCAATATTGTCAATAGCAAATAAAGCAACATGGCTTTAATTGACAGCACATGGATAATCTGCCTTTAATTTCCTTTGTTGTGAGGCAGCCTTCCCCTCCTCCATGGTCTATGCATTATATGCTATCCAAGCTATATACGTGGCTTCAAAAAAAAACTAGCCCATCAGTTGAACACATTATTATATGGTTACATAAACCTCACTGACTGAAAAACATGCTAGAAATCACGTGGGCCAGTGATGGAACAACAGTTTCTCTCTAAGCCAGAGCCTTGTGCAATAAGCTGTTACCAGAGGCTCAGAGGGGGAGTTGCAGAGTGGGCTTCCTTCCTCCAACAGCAACAGGTTATGCAAGGAGAAGCGTTTGCCAGTTCTCAATTACCACCTCTCCTCAAATACTGCATCAAACACCCTCTTAAAAAAACTGAGTGCCTACACAGCAGCACATGTAAATCACGAGTGATGCATGAGACTTTGTGCAGGATTCTGCCTCTGCCACCATCTCAGGACCCCTGATCTATTTTGGTTAAATATCAGAACAGACACAGAACGCAATCACTTTTATAAATATGCATTCTCTTTCGAGACAAAAAGCTCTGCTAAAGTTTACGAGTGCCCAATAGGGGCCAAGACTGTACGTGTATACCCAGCTTGGCACCACATAGCATCGGGACATCTCTGAGCAGTCGGGCTAACTGGCACGGGACATCTGAGCGGTCGGGCTAACTGGCGCGGGACATCTCTGAGCGGTCCGGCTAACTGGTGCGGGACCTCTGAGCAGTCGGGCTAGCTGGCGCGAGACAGCTAACTAGACAGCAAGGGACTGAAGCAGCTGGGCTCTGATCAGCTCACAATATCTAGAGTCGTGCCATCATTTCTACACTGCCAAGGCAACAATTTCGCTACAAACCAAAGCTGACAATGTGGTCACACACCATCAACAGAGTCCATAAAATGGCCACAGCAGAACAGTCAGTGTGATCAGTGGTGCTCTCACCCAAGCCCAAAACGTCATGGGTTGAAGCTCTCTTGAAGGAACTTTTTGAGTGTGCAACTCAAGTGCAGCACCAAAGTGGGAGACAAAGGATTGTTGCATAGGGAGAGATGCGCTCTCTCAGTTAAGATTTCAGATGCTTCATACAATAGTCTTGGGGATGTTTCACTTGTATGGCCAAAATTTGTTGTCCAGCACTGTTTTTGATTTGATTTATTATTGTCACATGTACCGAGATACAGTGGAACGTATTGTTTTGCATGTTAACCAGGCAAATCATACCTTACATCGGGGAACAGAACAGAATGCAGAATATATTGTTGCAGAGAAAGATCAACTCTAATATATGACAGGTCCATTCATACGTCTGATAACAATGGGAAGAAGGTGTTCTTGAATCTGTTGGTATGTGTTTTCAAACTTCTGTGTCTTCTGTCTCGTGGAAATGAGTGGAAGGGAGAATAGCCGGGTGGGAAGGATCTTTGATTTTGTTGAATGCTTTCCCGAGGCAGCGGGAAGTATAGGCAGGATCAATGGAAGGAAGGCTGGTTTGTGTAACAGACTGAATAGTGGGCTTTCTCAGGCTGCCACATTCTACTTGGTGATAATGGTGTCAGGGTGTCATTGGTTAGCAAGATCACCCAGGATTTTGACCTAGCGATGGCAATGGAATGACGTTCTATATCTAAGTGGAATGTGGATTGGAGAGGAAATTGAAGGTGCAAATTTATTAATGCACCTGCTGCCCTTGTAATGTGGGTGGGACAGCGTGCAGCTTTGGAAGGCACTTTTGAGGAAGCCTTGCTGCACTGTAGTGTAGCCACAATACCCTGGCAGCTGATTAAACATTATCTTATCAGCCTGTTTTGTCAAGGATATAACCAAATTTCTTGAATGCTATTGGAGCTGCAAACACCCTGACCCACTGAGAGTGTTCCATCAAACTCTGGACTTGCGTCTTGTTTATCTAGTCTTTCACTTGATATAGGGATCATCGGCTCGGCCAGCATTTAGTGCCAAAATCTAATTGCCCTGGAGAAGGTACTGATGAGTTGTCCACTTGAACAGCTGCAGTCATTGGGGTGTAGGTACACCCACATTGTTAGGGACAGATCTCACCAGCGACACTGAAGGAACGGTGATATATTTCCAAGTCAGGGTGGTGTGTGGCTTAACTGGCAGATGATGGTGCTCCCATGTATCTGCTGCCCTGTTCCTTCTGGATGACTATGGTCCTGGGTTTAGAGGGTGCTGTCTCAGAAGCCTTGGTGAATTTCTGCAGTGCACCTTATAGATAACACACGCTGTCGTGGTTACTGAGCGTTGATTGAGAAGACAGCAAATATTTGTGGACATGGTGCCAATCAAGCTAGCTCCTTTGTCCTGGATGGTGTTACTTTTCTTGAGTGTGATCGGAGCTGCACTCATCCAGGCAAGTGGGTAGCATTCCATCATATGGCTGACTTGGGTCTCGTAGCTGGTCGATAGTCTTTGGAGATTCAGAGGCCACAGTCACCACAGAATATGAAATGTTTGATCTATAGCGGCCACAGCATTTATGGGATGGCCCAGTTAGCTTTCTGCCTTTTGATGGCCTCAGAATGCTTAAGGCAGGAGACAGAGCAACTAGAAAACCACCAAATGTTATGTTTCCTCACGTCAGAGGTGATCATTTATAGGCACAAAGGTATTTTGTCAATACAAGCATGAACTGTCCCACTTCCGAAGAATTGCAGATGAGACTAAACACTGTACAATTATCGGGAGCAAACTCTTCCAACTCCTTGAGTGAACGTAAAAGATCAATTTGCGTTATTTGAAAAGGAGAAGAATCTTCCCATTGTCAGTCAACATTAATCTTTCAACAACATCTTGCCAAAAATAAAATGCATATTAAGGCAGCCATTTACCCCGTTCCTTTTTTGGGATCTTGCTCTAAGTCACCAGCATTTTTTACACGGATGGTGATCCTCGGGTTAAACCACCGCCAGTGTCTCAGTGTCTCTATCTCTCTCTCTCTCTCTCAACTGAGAGAACAAGTCTAATGGTCCACTGGGATTATGGCAGCTTTACCGTATACTTTAAAAATAATTTATGGGATTCTGGAACATGCTAAAGATGTGAAAGAAAGTAATTACACAATAACTTCTTTTCTTTCAATGCAAACTAGTATTACGTAAGACCAATGTATCTCTTTTGAGTTCTTCCATTTCAATTTGAAATCCCAATGCTGCTAATATGAAACATTTGGGATGTAATTACTTATCTTGTGTTTAGCAAAGGCTGCAAATGAAAACAAACTCACATTAGTGGAGCACACTATACATACACACACACACACACACGGAGTGAGCTCCACCCAGAATCTGGAATTTTTTCCATTTTACATACCAATGCTGAGTCAAACAAAAAGACAGCAAGTCAGCCCACACCCACATCTCCACCAGTTCCATCTCTAGTTTCCCCAGATGCGATAGGCAAAGCAGCAAATGTATATCAGCTGTTACTTTTATCAACTCAGTGGAGGGACCAGTTGCGTTAATTGCAAAGTTAATCAAACTTCTGACAGTCACATGCTGGACAAGCAATGAGCAAATATCATAATCATTCTTGATCATTGCCCACTGAACCCAGCTGGAAAGTGCCACCATGGGACAGAAGAGCACCACTGTCAGCTGTGATGTCTTCAGCAGTGGAACAGCTAGTCCACATGTGGCCGCCTGGACCCACACACTGTCTGCTAGTAGCGTGCAGTGGTGCAGAATCTGATCTTTTCACTAATTCCAGGATTCAGAAGCAGTGAATCACACCATGACTGACACATACCCTTCCAAATCCCCCTTCCTCTCCACTGACACATATCCTTTGATAACCTTAATCAACAAAAAAATCTGCCATCCTTAGCCTAATACACTTTATCACATGAATGCAGGCCCAGAAATCTGAAAGCTTAGTCAAGGAAAGTTAAGCCATGCCAAATAATGCAACCATACACATGGAGGTGGGAGTATTGAAGGTATTGTCTGGAATACTGCAACCCAGAGCTTCCCAAAATCTCTCAGTGTAAGCTCATCTTAAGAACTTCAAACTTTCTGAGACACCATAGAAAGTCTTTTTTGGAGGTGAAGTATGAGAATTGTTAAGTAATGGAAGACTTCAGGGGTTGAGTGTAAGGAGGGCTGAAAAGGAGGCAGGATTCCTCAGAAAACAAAACTACCGCCAAGAGGTTTTTCTGCAGCAGCAACTGGGCCTCACAGAGCAATCCATTAGGCCACACTCAGCAGCAAAACAAAATCATGAACATTTAAAGAGGCTTTACAGACATCCGAAAGCTGTTCGAGCTGTGTAGCAGCCACTTCTGCCTCTGAGCTCGTGACCTCAGGAGGGGGGTGGGGTGGTGGAGGCAGGCAGGGGTCACAGGTTAGGAAGCTCTGCTGTAACCCCAGAATCCTCAGGAGAGAAGGAAATAAATAAACAAGTAAATGTTTTCCAGCATCCTTTTGTAGCCAACTCATGTATTTAGTCATATCATCTTACCTCTTTGGCAGTGTTCACTTGTCCAACATCGATGGTTAAACTGATCGTTGAATACAGTCTGGGCACAGTCGCTTTTCCCCCTCAAGGCGCCTGGACACACGTCACCACATTCTCTGTCATCTTTATTGGACTTTATGTAATTGTCCTCCACCGAGTCCAGAATCTTCGACCAGTCAAGGGTGGACAGGTAGCAGAGCTCTGGGTTCTTCTCAATCCTCACTGCGCCCCGGGTGATGTTCACCAGGTTGTACAGACCAATCTCTTTGAAGTGCAGCATCTCAAATATCACCAAAGCATAGTTGAAGAAGAGCCTCGTCCCACGGATCACAGTCAAGTTCGGGAAGAGATCTTTCAAGCTCTCGAGACCGTAGACGCGGAAGAGGAGCAGGTAATCCGTGATCATTGTGAGCTCTGGGAAACTCAGACCACGGAAATCCTCGGGTTTGGTGCCAAACATCAGCAGGATCTGCAGATTTCCCTCGATGACGGTGCAGTTTCTCAGCTGCTGCAAGTGTGTAATGTTGTTTCGAATATCAATGCTTTGACAAACTGTGGAGAAAAAGAAGAGGGGAGAAGGTTAATGCTTATGGCAATGTGAAACAATGCACAGCCTAAGATCATTGGTTCATACACAAAAATATTTCAACAATTCACAATAACTCTGTGAGATTCTACCCTTTCAAGAAATTTCGTGAAATGCTTCTATAGAAATGTAAGATGGGAATATTGGGAATTGGAATTAACAAAATAAAGTGGTTCTATTGCCAACAGATGACAAGAACAGGCAAAATTAATCTGCCTTGCTTCTGTGCTGGTGTTGCTAACCAAGTTTGAAAGGATAATTACTGACAGAAGCAGCTATACGAATAAAATATTTCTAAAAACATACTTTCAACACAAGCAATTTTCACTTATATAGCACTTTTAACACAGTTGAATGTGCCAAGGAACTTCACAAGAGCAATTATCAAATAAAATGCGATACCAAGCCACATTAGCAGATTCAAGATAGGTGTCCAAAAGTTCGGTCAAAGTTCTATCTGAGGGAGCGTCACAAATGAGGTGAGAATGGTGGAGAGGTTTCCAAAGAGAATTACAGAGCGAGGCCCAGGCAACTGAAAGCACGTGTACAAATGATCTTAAAATCAAGGAAGAGTTGAGGAACGCAAAGTGTTCGGACAGCTGTTGGAATAAAGTTATGGAACGAAGGAGGGGCAAAGTCACGAAGAGATTTGAAAATAAGGTCTGGAAGCTAAAGGTTTGGGTATTTCCGGATCAGAAGCTACTTTAGTCAGCAAGCACAAGGAGTGATGAATAAACAGAACTTGCCGTGATTTAAGAAAACGGTCAGCAGAGATTTGGAAGAGCTTGTTAACTAAAGCAGCATGGTGAAAAGCTGGCCAAGAAAGCATTGGCATGGTGATGTCAGAGGTACAATTTCAGAATTATAAACACTGCAACATGTCTTGTGTGCATGCTTCACCATGGTGGCAGAATTAAAAAGCAAGGCAGACACATTTGAGAAACCTCACAACCTTTAAAAAGTACTTGAATAAGCACTTTGAGTGTCATAACATTCAAGGCTATGGGCCTAATGCTGGAAAGTGAGACTAGTGTAGATTTAGCAGTATGAATTTGATGGGCCTCTTCTGTACCGAAAGACGCTATGATTTCCATTCACAGTACTTTCCGTGACTAGAGGACATCTCAAATTTTTAAAGGGTAGCCACCACTATATTGTCGCCAATTTACAGACAACACGTCCCACAAGCAGCAACATGATAATGACCAGACAATTTAATCAGTGATGTTGATCAGTCAGGGTGCCACTTCAGAACTCCTCTGCTCTTTGTCAAGATAGGACCACGAAATCTTTCGGGAACACAAGATAGAACACAGCCTCAATTCAAGGTCCATCTGAAAAACACCAATTCCAACAGTACTGCCCACCCTCAGCATTCTGCAGAGCATGTCAGTCTTGATTTTAGTGCTGCAGCCCCACTGTGGGTCTTGAACTCGGAATCTTATGACTCAGAGGCAACATTGCTACCCACTGCCTTGGAAAGGCAAAGTTGCCACAGTCCTACTGGATCACAGTGCTACTCTCCTATTAGAGAAAGAGATGACTGGTGGTGAGTTTAACCTGAGGATCACCATACCTCATGCGAGGAGCAAGGGTCAGAAGACGTGACTGTCATGGGAACATCTGCCAGTGTCGGAACTGAACCCATGCTGTTGGCTTCACTCTGCATCGCAAACCAGCTGACACCACGTTACAGGTCTCTGTTAATCCTCTCCTTATTTCCTAGACTCGTACCGCCCACGTTAAAAACGCTTCCTCAAAATTCATCTTTGCAGCAGTGTGTTCATCCTTCCCTCTGCTACGTTAGTATTAATTAGCCTCAAGCACCTCCAGATTTTTACAATGACAGTGCTATCCTGTAACTGTATATCATTCCTACTCTTGCACTGAATGTAGAGAGTTGTATCAGGGCAACACAGATGTAGCAGCTTCACTCATCCCTGAAGATCACACGTTCAAATCCCACTACACAGATTTGATCATACAATCCAAGTCATAGGAGGAATAACTGGATCAACTGAGCTTATACTGACTAGAATTCAGAAGAATGAGGGGGTGACCACATAGAAATATATAAAATTCTGATGGGACTGGACAGGCTACATAAGGGAAGAATGTCTGGTTGTTGGGGAAGTCCAGAACTAGGGGTCACAGTTTAAGGGGTAAGCCTTTCAGGACTGAAATGAGGAAGAATTTCTTCACTCAGAGTGGGAACCAGTGGAATTCTCTCCCACAGGAAGCTGTTGGGATCAGTTCATTAGATATATCAAGGAGGGAGTTGGACATGGCCCTTGCGGCTAAAGGGATCAAGGGGTATGGAGAGAAAGCGGAAATGGTATACTGAGATTGCATGATCAGTCATGATGATCTTAAATGGTGATGCAGGCTTGAAGGGCCATATGACTTATTCCTGCACCCATTTTCTATGTTTCTAAGCTAACACCACAATGCAGTGCTGAGAGAGTGCTACGCTGTCAGAACAGCCACTTTCAGATTACAGGTTAAACTAATTGGTCAGGGAACTATGAAAACCAATGACAATGTGAATAATTCACCCGAATTTTTGACTGACATTTATCCCTTAAATGAACTCCATAAAAACCCGATGAATTGGTCATTTATATCACTAGGATTGGCAGAACCTTGCATGCAACTTGGCTGCCACAAAACAAACAATATTACATGTCAAAAAGTGATTTATTGCCACTGATGTGTTTTAGGATACCCAAGGACATGAATGACACTATAAAAATTCACAGGCAGCCTATCTAAGTTCAAACATAAATGTCCAATCCATGATCCACAGCTGGGCCAGATGGTGGAAAACTATTAAAACATTTCTGTTTGTGCAGCAATTAATCAATTGAACCAACAGGCTTATGCAGAGGTAGTGACCCGCTGTACACAGGAGGCCATTCAGCCCATCAAGTCTATGGCAGTTCTCTGATGGGCAAGCCTCGATTGAGGTCTCAGTTCCCCACTCTATTCTTATAATATGATTATATCATTTAGTTCCCCCAAGACCTATCCCTTGCTATCATCACTGCATGTGCCTTTCTCTAAAACATGCATTTGTACAGCATCTTTTGACACAGTTTTAAAGATAGATGCCAAGCAGATTCACAGCAATGTTATCAGTCACAATGGTAATTATTCCTCACTGCGTCCAAAACTAAGTTCTAGTTAATGAGAAGAACCTGAGTTCAGCAGATGCTGTATGTCAAAAAGACAGGCTGGAAATGCGGGAAACACTCAGCGTGTGTAGATGAAGAAAAGTAGGGCTAATGGCCAATAACCTTCCATCGAAAGCAGGAGAGATGCTACAGATGATATGCATCAACTAAACTAACTTGGGAGTGATACACTACGGAATGCCAAATGTAGGGAGTGAGATGGTTTTCTCTAAGGCAAAGTACATTCCTGTTCCAGGTCAGATTTAGAAGCTGTCTCAATTAGTAAAGTTGAGGAGTCTTTAAATCAATCAGAATTCCTCAGTGTTTTGTATTGGGGGGAGCTGGGGTTTTGGGAGGGAGGGAGTTAGTCAGTGGGGATTAGATCACATTTTTAAGAAGTTACATCAACTGAATTTAAAGTTTCCTGAACTCTTTCTCCCATGTCTCATAGATCCTAACTTGTCAACTGCAGAAAATCTCTCAGCTTTCAAAACCTGTGCTTGATTTTCACTGAACATATGTTGAACCTATTTCCCTGTCAAAGTCCCAACAACATTAAAGGGTGGAGGGAAAGGGAGACAGAGCCAGAAAAGCATGTTAGAGAAATCCCCCAATAGCCGACAGTGAAAAATGTAAACCCAGTAATGGAGAGAAGCCGGATATGGCCAATATACCCCACAGAGCAAATGAATTTGCCTCTGAAGAACTAAAAATAAACACACTCATGATTTAATGTTAAACATTCGGAGTCATGATGCGCTTGCCACCGTGATTGCGAGGAAGGATGAATGGGTCAGTTGGTCTGTCCCTGCCTATTAATTTCACATGTTCGAATCAAAGTTGGAGAGGAGCAGACCTCTCGGTATCCTTCCAACATTCCTGCTTCAGCCAGCTCAATTAAAGAAAAACAGATTAACTAGTCATTTATCTCACGGCCAAGTCTGGCATCTTGTTTTAAAAGAATAGCTGCAGCAATTGCCTGCTGAACAAGTTACTGTAATGCAAACACTATTTACTAAGTCAATCAAAAACCAGGACGCTGATGATTAACATGCTTATGTCACAGATGTGCTCAGGTCACCCAGACACATCCATGTGCGTCAAACCAAGGCACAGATGCAAATTGATAAGTGATCTCATCAACGGCTCAGAAAGACGCGACAGACTCCTTAGAGTAAACTTGTCGGCATATTTGTTACAGTTTTAATTTGTTTACTCAAGGATTATGTGGTCAGGGCTCAGCAGACACATCTGTCTTTTATTTCATCCTTCAGAAATCATTAAAGAGATGCATAAGAAGTTTAATAAGATACATTATCCAGTAGTAACAGGGCAATGATTTTGAAAATTGGTGCAAGAGTTTTATTTATTAATAAATTAGCAGTGGCACAGTAGCAGTTATGGAATAACAAGGGCAAAATGAATGATACATCTCCAAAATTAACTGAAGTTTCTTACTTTTGTTAGACATAGTTCCCATCTCATAGCCCCTCACATACCTCAGGAAGAAGGGGTTTACCAGCAATATCATCAGATTGGTAAACCAGAACCGCAGGCTAATGCTCTGGGGAACATGGATTTGAATCCCACCATGGCTGAGGATAAAATTTCAATTCAATAAAAATCTGAATTTATAAAAACCTGGCTGAATGGCAACCATGCAACCATTGTCGATTATCACAAAAACATATTTGATTCTTTAGGGAAGGAAACTGCCATCCTTACCTGGTCTGGCCTACCTGTGACTCCAGACCCACATCAATGTGGTTCACTCTTTACTGCCCTCTGGGCAA